AGCCTGTTTTGTTGGATTCTGGTTTGTTGCTCTTCAAACTTGCAGTCAATCTTCACTGACTAGTTGAAGAGGATTGGGCATGCTGGAAATCATTTAATTTCATCATCTCTATCAAAAGAATTCAATAGTTTATACTACCCATTGCTGTGAAAGATGATCAGTGAGTCTGGATTTCCCCTTCAGGCAATCACAAAGGATGCCTGACCTGTATCTCTGTGGAAAGCATAATAAAATCAATGGTGTGGCCCCTGTTTGCACCAGAAGAAGCAGTCTAAAGAGGAGAAAAGGCTTATTCTGGTGTCTTTGCTGGTAACTGTCTTAAATATGTTCCAATTCTGTTGCTCCTCAATACCTCAGGACTAGACACTGTTGCAGTATGTGAAAGCTTTGATGTTTCTGAAAATTAGCTCTGCTTTAGGATATATTTGCTCTAAGTAGCATCCTAACTGGCAAGTATTAAATAATTCACACATCTAGAAGTAGAGGAAGACTGTAAGCTCTCAAAGATGGAGAGGAAAGTTAGGGAAGGAAGGGTTAACCAACCTTTATATTTGCCAGCAACTATATGTGCTCTGTTCCCCATCTGCCCCTGTGAAGTATGAAATGCAGCAGATGTTTGATCCTGATCTATCAGCCTCCATAAAAATGAAGGTTGAACTAGTGAAGAAGAAGGCAGAGTAATGTTTGCCAGAGAAGAGCAAGAAGATTTCCGACACCTGGGCAACTTAAGGGTGGCAGATGGCAAAAGCTGAAGGCAAAAGAGGGAGCGATGTGCACCAGCAGCTGGTGCACAAATGGGGAGTAGAGAGGCCTCCACTGAAACTGCACAGGAAGAATTTAATACCAGCAGTTCTGTAAGACTGATAGTGTGAATATACAAAGAGGAGCCTGTGTTTTAATTCAAACAGCTATCGTCGAAAGTACCCGATGGATTGTCAGGCAAGGAGATTTTCACAGCAAGAAGCCATCTATTTGCATCAAACACTGTCAGTCTGCAAAACAGCAGCTTCTGGGTCATTTAACAACACTCCAGATGTAGTTATTTTCTCTTAGGCAAGTGGCTCAAAAAGAGCTGTGCACAAAAAAGGCAGAGCTGGCATGTAAAGGGGAACAATCAAGCAGCATGTGGAAGCGATTAGCCAGTCCCTGTGATGTAACTCAGCTAAAGGAACATGTGGGTGTCCTGTGGTTCTCAGCACAAGACTGCAAGGCTGGGGTCAAACACAGGGTTGTATTCACACAGGTGCTGCCTGTTCTGCCACAGGAAAAAGAAGGGAAACCAGGCAGAGCTGTAAATCTGGGGACTGACGTCGACAGGGTTTCTTGATATTTTTTTTCATTTAGATGACAGAGATGAGATTAATTCTTGTTACCAAGATAATTGTTAGGAATTTCTTTTCTCCCACACTGGACTCATCCTTTTTAGAGAATAGCTGCCCTCTGCAAAACCCAGGTTGAGTTCAGGCTCCACAACACCCAAGAGTATCTAGATGTGCATGAGAGAATTTGGCCCTTTCTGGAGGATCTTTTTTCCTGCTAGACTGATTTTCACTGACACTGTGATTAAATACTCTGAACAAAACCTGTTACCTGTCGTGCACATCACACCTGCAGCCCTGCCAGGCTAATGCTGCCCTGACCACTGACACTCTACAGAGACACCCAGCATGGGAGAGTCATCAACAGATCCTTCCTGCAATTCCTTTAATACACAATTCACACCAAGTATCTATGGATTAGTGAGACTGCCTGCTGATGTTTCAAAAAGACTCAGCAAGTGGGTAGAAGGAATGCTGTCTGATAGGGATGCAGCTTCAAAATATACTCATACTGTTGCTAGAGAATTTGTGACCACAGGAGGAGAAAAGGTTATTGTATGTGTAACCTGAAGCTTTAATTATATCATGTCCTTTCTTTTACAAGTAGAAATGTGTATTTGTAACTGATAGTTACACTTTCTAGTTACGTATCTATCAAATTCCTGTTATAATGAGGATGACTCATAGTGAAATTATCCATTAGTTGCTCTGTTCATTATGTTATTTGGCTTACTGTCAGCATGCAAACTGCAAATCCTGAATTCCTCCTGTCCTTCATCCTCCTTGGCCATTTCCTAAGTACTGGTCAAAAACTGACAAAGGCATTTTTAAACTGTTGCAACTCCTTTGCAAGCAAAAGGTTTTCTCAAATAGGGTCCACTGCTCTACAGCTGAGCAGAAATTTCGTCTCCTACAGAACAGGATTTTCCTGATGGAAAGCAGAGTGAAAGCACATGTGAGCCCTCTGCTTCCCTGGACAATCCTACCTTACAACATTCATACAGTCCAGGAAGACAGAAAATTGGCATACCTGATCAGATCTCCACTCCACTGCTGCCTGTATCTTCTTTCCAGGAAGGAGCAGATTGATGTGCCAGAGAAATGCAACAGCAGTAGAGCCATAGTAAGGAGAGGGAATACACCAGTCCCATCACTGATGGCAGCCACTGTTGCTGCTCAGTGATCAGAAAAAGCCTGAGGAAAGGGGGAGTATTATGGAATCTCTCCCTAAGACTGAACCATGTTAACTAATCAGCCCCAGAAGATCTTTCTGATCATTTCCTGCCTACGCTGCACACCTTCAGCAGTTTATTCCATCCTTAAATTACCACCTGAGGTTAGAACCTCTCCTCTCCATTCAGTCACACAACCCTCACAGGCAGCTGTCACCTGCTGACCCCCAAGTCTGAGTGACATTAACTTACTGTGAAGAACTGAGGCCTTTGGGATCACCCTGGCAGAGAGGTCCACGTAAGAGAGGGAGCTGGGGGAGCTTTTTATGAGTCTTCTTATATTCAGCATACACAGCAGGGGAACTGTGGACATGGGTGGAAACAACCACCTGCTTTAACCTGGCATTGAACATTCTTGTGTTCTCTTCAGCACTGAAACCTCTCAGAAGATCATCAGTAAAGTCAGGACTCCTAGACCTGGGTATCCCCAGCCAGGGTCTTATGTCTCTTGAACTGCTGTGTCATCCCACTTACAAATCAATGGCACAGTGAGACCCTTACTGAAACAGAAATATATTTCTTGGGATAATGAGAACTTTTCTCTTTTTTTTTGCCTTGAAGTGAATGAAGGGCATATGAAATATACAAGATAGGTGACACAAAAAAATTTATTTAATGTATTCAGAAAGAAGGCATTGTTCAGTCAGCCCTGCTATCAGTCAGCATGTGGTTGCCCACCTTGAGGTTCCTGCCTACAAAATTCAGAGTCCCCTTTGTTGCCACCAGTTCTGTGAGAAACTCGTAATAATACCCCACAGTAAACTGAGAAACAAAACTGGAGCCTTGAGCCCTCCCCTCCAACCCAGTGACTGTGTAAGGAGCAGTAGAAAAAGAGGGAAAGGGATGATGTCCAAGAGCAGCAGCAAGTGTGGGCATGGGGAAGCACAGAGAGCAAAGCTCTGTTAGGAGCAGCATTTATTCAGAAGCAAACATCATGCTTGTGGTCCCTGCAGATGTCCCCATCTATGGCTGCCTTGCGCCAGCAACAAGCTTGCTGTCACTCATCATGCCAGTGAAGGCCAATGCAGAAGGAGGAGAGACCAGGGGCCCATGCTATGCACAAACACTGGCTTGCTGTTTGGTAAAGCAAATCTGCCATTAGTGCTACCCTAACCCTTTCCTCCCCGGGGTGTGAGGCAGCCATAGCCAGGATTTCATTGTGATCTGCTTTCCTCCTTAATCTCTCCCAACACCATTCATTTCTGAGATGTCTCCTGAATGGTATTTTCATTTAGAGCAAAGGGCTGTGAAACAGGTGGTATTAAAAAAACAGGCAGGTGTGGAACAAGCAGCAAAAGAACTAACTCCCCTCTTGCTCTGTCCCAGCCTGCCTTGGATCCAAGGTGCCTCTCCAGTTCTTCAGCCCATGTGTGCCATTGCTGCTGGCAGAGACACGTCTGCTCTGGTGGCTCGTACTTTTGTCCACTAGGGACCACACTGAGATCGACACCAGAGCTCAAAGATGTTAATAAACCTTCCTGCATCTTGACCTGGGCTGGTCATTAACTGACCATCAAGAAGAAAGAGGCTCTATGATCTCTGCAGAGCACAAATATCTCTGAGCAGGGACTTGGTGACTAGCACAGCCTTAGTGAAAACAGCAGTGTCCTGTAGCATCTCACCCCCCCTCCTCCCCACGTCACAGGCACCTCGAATGCATTGGTCTCATTTCTTCTGCCCACCATCATCCCAGGTGCTGCTTACTTAGAAATTGAGATCGCGAGTCTCCTCCAGCTGCAAAGGGAACTTTGCCTTTTGAGAAGCGCGGCGTACATCTGTGACTGCGCATACAAAGCACAGCGCGGTCCCTACATCCCCCTCGTTCTCTTTATGCCACAGCTGCCTCACAGAGTTTTAAGAACTTTCAGCTTCCAATCGCTACTTCCACCAAGTCCTGCGCCAGCCTCAGCTTGCGGCGGGGGCGGATGCTGCCGGTTCCTCTCGCTGTTCGCATCAGCCAGCAGAGCCGCGGCACCTTCCATTCCCGGGAGGGATTTTCTCTTTAGTTTCAAAACAATGTGTGAAAGCCTGCTCTGCAGAAACAGTAGCCTCAGTAAGTTTAAGGATGACTGAAGTTATTTCCTCTCCCAGGGAGGTTTAAGAACTACGGAGGGATGAATGGAGTTAGACCTATCGCTGCATTCCTAGCAGCCATCCTATTACAGCCCTGAATAAAAGCAGGAATGGCATGTCTAGCCTAGGTTAATAAACCCTACGGAGTGCATGCCTAAAAGCACTACGAAACAGCCTTAAGTCAGCTGGAGAAAACTAATTTCAAGCATGGCTGTCTAGTGTGCCTGTCATTCCTATTATCCTTCCAAACTATTTCAGACATTTTGAGCAGCGAGTACTAAGCGATGAGTTAGCAGGGGTTGTGACATTAATGATCCAAAAAGGTTTAAGCACCGGGAGGGAACGATGACAGCACTTAACCGGTGGCAGTTCGGAGGATTCCGCTGGATCTCTGTTTGTTAATAATCAGGCTTCGCCTCGGAGGAAGATGTGACAGCTGTCGGAGGTAGGATTTGCATGGGAAACAAAGGGAGCTGTTGCTGTTTGGTGCCCGCTGTTCGTGCTTGGCTCCGCGGCTTTCGGAGCGCAGCCAGGTGCGGCGGCAGCGCTGGGGAGGGGTCGCTGGGATGGATGGATATGGGGAGAGCCGGGGTGGAAATACCGTGGATAGTCCTGTGTCTTATGGCAGAAATGCCTCGAGGACAAACTGGCTCAAACCTCGCTGCCTGCTGAGTGTGCATTCCACGTTGTTCTTCCCGCGGAGTGAAATACATAGAGGTCATGCAAGAAAACACTTTACTCCTTTCCTCCCGAGCCAGGAGGGCTGTTTCTGAGATGGGAGAAGGGAAAGGGGGAAGCTGCCCTAAAATAAAAGGGGAAGAGGAAAGCTATGGAGCCTGTAAGATGAGGGAGACTTGCTATTAATGTGTAAAACGCTCCTGGAGTGCCACCGATGTCATTCGAAAGGGGGAAAACATTCGCGGGGGAAGGTGGTGGGAGGAATTTTCCGGGTGTGGGACTCCTTAGGTTGTTGCAAAAGGCGTGATGTGTCCATCCATTTTGCATAATCAAAGCTTTCTCTGCACTGTTGGCATTGTTTTGCTGGACGAGACACGTAGTTTCAGACAGAAAAAGGCACGATTTCCTCCCATGTCACTGCCAGCCCCCTGACACCCTCCTCCCCCTGAGAAACCAGCGTGGGGAAGGATGTTCACAACGTTTAGCTGGATGCTGAAAGGGCTGTGAGCAAGGGCTGAGAGGGAAAATGAACACTAATGATAACAGAAAGGCTTCCCCTTCACAAAGCTTGTTTCTCCCCAGCCAGAAGTCCAAGGGGTGACAGGCAAAGTTAGAAGCCTCACGTACTTTTTTTATGATGTGTCTATTTAGCATCACTAGACAAGAAAATGTCCAAACATCAGAGTCAGGTCTGCGTGGTCACACAGGGCAGTGGGGTCTGCACGGGGTCCTGGGCAGGGCTGGGCTGTGAGTTCGGGTTTTTGACTGCTCATCCCTCGCCAGGATGAGCAGCAGGAACATGGTGAATGAAAATCATATTTCCACGCATATGCAGAGCCCTTATCATTTGGTGTGTTTGATCTGAGTGTGATGTTCCCTGGGCTGATGAATTGCTTCAGCTTGTTTATTAAAGTTTCATTTCCAAACAACAGAGAGACTTCAGAGTGAGTGGTATTTAGTAACAATAAAATGTTCTGCTTGTGGAAATGCTTCTCTCAGGACCCATTAAAAATGCACTTAAAGAAGCTGGGAGTCATATCTTGCAGCAAGAGGTATGGAGCCACTTGCTGTGCTAAATTTTAAAATTAAGGTTATGATACCATTTTAAATCTACTTTAATGTGGATGTCACTAAGGATACTTTACAATACAAGCTCACAACTTCAAGAATTCTGTTAGACTGATTGTTTTCATTAAATCTTCATCAGAAAAAGAATTCCTGTATAGCAGGGACTTACTGACTAATTTGAACTTACTCATCCTAGCTGTTCTCTTTACGGATAACTTCAGTGTGTTATACTGCATTGTAAATAGATTGTGATATAATCCATTTAAAAACAAAACATCAATGACAATTTAACAACAAAAGTGCTAAATGCATTCAGTCTAAGTGAATACTGGTTGTGCCAAAAAGAAGCAATATTGGACCAGGAATGGTAAGAATTGTTTTTAAGAAACATAAATATTCCCCATTTGATCCAAGCAAGAACTTTTCAGTTAACTGCATTACTTTGCATTGCAAATTTGGGGTGAAATCATTTTAACTCATGTTATGTACTCTACTGAGTACATAAAGAAAACAGTGAAAACTTTCTTCCAAAGAAACTGTTGTAGCAGTTTGCAATATGGATCAAAGAGTTATTACGCAGAGATATGAAATCTGTGCCAGAAATGAGCAATGCATGTGGAAATCGAGTATATGGTTTTTCTTCTCCATCTCACTCTTGTCCAGAAGCTTAGACAATTTTACTTTTTTTACTTCAGTGCCTCTCGAGAGAAGGGTCTGAAGGGGTAAAACCATGAGGAGGAGGGAGACTGCGTTCAACCTGTGCCCAGACTTTGGGAGACTTGGGCAAATCCCTCAGCATCTCTGGGAAATGGGCAGTGCAAAGAGGCCAATGGGGTAATGATACAATGGAAATACAGACCGTGCTCAGGGAATGGGGCTGAACACAGGGCTCCAGACAGGGCAAAATGCAAAGCCAAATTGTGCAGCAGAAGGAGGCTAATGTTTCAGGAATATACAACTGTAAAATATGACACAACACAAATCCCCTGATTCAAAACTAAATCTGCTCTCAAAACTATCCCAGATAAATTTGCCACTTAGAAAAACTTCTTCCAGGACCAAATACCCATTCATCTGAGAGCGTGTCAGAAGTGACTCCAAATCTCCCATCATTCCATCAATGTGCAGCAGGTAGCAAATTAAACGACATCAGATTGATTCACTGTGCTGAGGAACAATTTCCCTGTTTTCTTCAGAACTCAATGAGTATTTTTTGCCATGGATCTCACTTGCCATTTCTGTTATGAATTGTTTGTGGAGGTCATGCAATTTTCTAATTTATTTATTTGATGTTATTTAGGGCTTTCTTCAGCAAACAGCTCTTGGCTTACAGATCTTTTGGGAATGGCAAATGTTTGCAAATTCTTACTGTGTTGCTTGGTTCAATCCTGTGGTGCTCCTTGATTAGCTGATTTGTGCAGCTAACCGGCAGAAAACAAATTGCAAATTTCACCACCAAGAGTACTGTTCCATACTGGGTTTCCATCACACTCTGAGCAGTCAGGTTGAAAATTCACCTCTTGCCAGCAGTCATAGGAGCAACACACAAGCACTGAAGTGCTCCCACCAGACAGATGTGAGAGCCAGGTTAAACAGCTTTCAATTTCATATGAATATTCACGAAAAGTGCTCAAATTCCTGCAGCTTTGTTAAAATGAGCAGCCAGCATCATCCATTGTGCACTGCACGGGCCGTTCTCTCACAGCACTCGCCATGTCCCCGTGTGTAAGTCCACAGTACCAGTGGAAACCATTTGTGCAGCCAGTTTAGAAGGAAAAAGCACCATGATGGAAATGTCTAAATTTTCCACATTATAACCTCACCTGTTGTGCCTGTCTTGCACATTCTGTGACACAAAGACAGCCAACAGGGAGGACAGCAAGAGAGCATCAACACTGAGGCAGAGAGTGCAGGAGAAAACACTGAAAGAAAGGAAAATAAGGGTGACAGGCAGAAGGAGGGAGCAGTGGCACATAGAGCAGGTACAGAGGAGGCAGGAATGGGAACAGCAGGAACACCTAATATACAATTTTTGACAGTGAATCTAGTGAATTTGGGTCATTAACCTCGAGGTCTCTGGTCTTACCAGACTCGGCCCATGGCAAGTCCTGGAGATGTTGCTCCCAAACCCTCCCTGTGCTTACCTAAAGTGGCACCAAGCAATGGGGTGGCACAGCTTACTTACTGTCATGCAGGGGTATGGATATCATGCCATGGAGGTATAGAAGAGCTGTGAAAATTCAGATGAGAAGAAAACTAGCACCTGATATATGGTTTAAATGCAGTCAAAACCAGTAGGGTGAAGAATTTCTGTCAAATGTATTTCCTCACAGACACAAAAAAATTCAGCTGTCAAAACACCAAGCTCTTTTACTCAAAAACAAATCAAGGGGAGAAGGTTATAAAACATGAATATATTTGCCTTTTGAGATATTTTTGCACTGTACTTATGTCATATAGGAGGAAACCTCATGTCTCCCACTGAGTGAGCTCTATTGTCCACGTACTTTATATAGAAAGTCTGGTGTAAGCTAAATCAACAGGGATGCTAAGACTTCATAGAGGCAACCAGCAGTTACACCCCCGTCAGATGGCCCCTTTTTACCTTTTCAATGATTTTAAAGTCCAATGATCCTAGATACCCTTTTTTAATTCTAAAAATAGAAGTGGGCGTAAATTGCAAGCGCTGTGAGTCACACAGTGAGGGTCACTACGGGCAGCACACGTGTATTCATATTCTGTCAGGGCACACGTAGCACCAGACTGATACTGCCTGGGGAGAGTAAGAGAATGAGAAGAATTAGAGGAGCTGAAATGAGAGCAAATACAGAAAAAATCTTTGCGAGGACAAAAATTGACTCAACGTAGTCTGGAATGGAATCCCAACTTGAAATTCCCCCTAGATACTATTAAAACTCCTATTAAATCTTCAGATACCTTTTCTTTCTTAATACAAAGCTGTCCTGCTACCCATAAATAACTTTCATCTCTGCTTGTCCCAAATGGGATGCCCCAGCCATTCACAGATACCCAGCAATTTTGCCTGAATTTGGTGTTCCTCCCACTCTGTGCCACTGCATTGTTCTGAATCAACCACTGCCAGAGGGGTTGTGAAGACCAGAGGAGCCAAAAGAGCATTTGTCCCACTTCCCCACTTCCCTCACAGAGGATCAGAGCTCAGAGTGAAGTTTCTGCTAAGCCCAAAGTGATTCATGTCTCCAAGGTTGCCATCCTGGTGGGACCCTTCCACACGGCATTTTTTTGTGTCTGTTTAGGTGTGATACCAAAGGGACAAGATAATTGCCTGCCTTAAAGAAGTGCTGCAGGAAACATCCAATATACACTTGGCTACGTTTTACTCGTGGGCAAGCTATTTTCCACCTCAGAAGAGTGGTACTCCTCACTGACAGCCATCAGTTATTTGCAAATTTAGTTAGGCCTTAAAAATGTCAGGCTCCTGAGTGCATAAATAATGTTTCAGAGTAGTAACCTGAAATAAGTCAAACTAGGAATGGTGAGAAGATCTGGAGTACAGTCCCTTTGGGACCTACTACCTCTTCTAATTAATATCTGGTACTTAAAGCATCAGAGCCCATGGTTAAATCAAAGTCAGAGGGAATAAAGGAATATTAAATCCTCCTGGAGACCTGTGTCCAGGTGCTCCTCAGTGCAGCTGCCAAACACACTGACTCCCTGACC